GCAGCTTACTCTTTCCCAAATATGCCCCTTGCTTCCTACCTCAGGGCCTTTGCTCATGCACCGCCTTTCCCCATCTTCCCTGAAGGAGTTGGACATAGAGCTCTATGTACATAATTTCATCCTCGCACAACCCTGTCAGTCCGGTACTAACATACTCATTTTAGGGATGTGGAGTCTTGCTCAGAGAGGTGACGTCACTTTTCTAAGGCCACACAGCAAGTATGTGGCCAAGCCCTTTGCTCCTCCAAGAGGAGTGTAGCAGTTTCAGCGCATGGACTGGAGCTAGGATGTCTGAAGTTCAGATCCTGGCTCTGCCACTTGCCAGCTGTGGGACCTTAAGCAAGTGGCTTAACCTTTCTGTGCCTGTTTCCTGATATGTAAATAGAAATAGCACAGTAAGAAAACACATCTCATGGGGTGTTATGTGAATTAAAGGAGTTGGTCTATATAAAGGGCACGGAAGAATTACTACGTATATGTACGCAGCAGTGATTATCATCACTGCCATCTAGCTTTTAAGGCCCACTCAAATGCCACCCCCTCCTTGAACCCTTTCCGGAGCCTCCCTTCTCCAGTCTGCTGGGACTGCTCCCTTGCAGCACTCCAGCCGCCCTCCTTCCCATGCCTTTTAAGAAATATGCTTGTGAGTCCCCCAAGGACGACAACTGGGTTCGACTCCCTACCATACCCCCTAGTGCCTAGCCCAGGGCCTGGAGACATCTGGGTGCTGGGCCAGTCTGCCTTGACCCTGACCCTGACCCCCGACCCCAGGGGGCCTTCTTTCCCCTGGCCGAGGGGAACTGGAGCATGCCCAACCGGGCGGTGGAGCCCCAGCTGCAGGAGGAGGAGCGCATGGTGTACGTGGCCTTCTCTGAGTTCTTCTTCGACTCCGCCATGGAGAGCTACTTCCGGGCGGGGGCCCTGCGGCTGTCACTGGTGGGGGACAAGGTATGCCAGGGTCTGTTTGTGGGATGGGCTAGAGGGGGCCTGTGATGGAACTCCTGCCTCACCCCCAGTTCCCCGGTCCAGGTGCCCCAAGAGCTGGACATGCTACTGAGAGCCTCCTACTTTGGGAACATCTTCCTACTGGTGAGTGTCGGCGGGAGGTAGGAAGGTGGCGGGGTGGGTGGGCACACCAGTGAGGTGTGCAGGCGGAGGCCCCCAGCAGCAGCCAAGGTGTAGACAGAAGGCCTGGCCTCTTGCCTGACCAGTCGCCTCACCCTGCCAAGCCCGTTTCCAAGTCTGTGAAGGGGGCTCGCTACTGCCTACCCCGTCTTCTCCATGAAGCCATGGTGAGGATGGGCTGAGAGCCCGAGCTCTGCCAGTGTGGGGGCTTTAACAACGACTGATGTATTATTCTTTTTGCTTATTTTTGCGTGTTTAATGGGGAGAGGGAGTGGGAGTTAAAAATTTACAAAGAAGTATTTCAGTGATCATTAAAGGCCTTGTACTCAGTTCAGTTTTGTGAATGCTAAAGCTGGGAATTTGAACCTGGATTTGAATCTGTGACTCCAGGTCACACTGGCTCTCTCTACACTATACAACCTCCCAGGGTTGTCACGAGGATTAAATGAATTAATACAGGTAAGCAATTAGAACAGCAGCTGGTACAGAATAAGTGCTCAGTAAACACTAGCTGCTATTATTGCTGTCATTATCATCATCATCATCAACAAACTAATGGCCAAGCATTGTTAGGAGCATGGACTCTGTTGCCAGACTGCCTGTGTCTGATTCCCAGTTCTGCGACTGAATAACTACATAACCTTAGACAAGTTCCTTAACCTCTCTGTGCCTCAATTTCCCCATCTCAAAAATTAGTATAATAGTACCTGCCTCACCTGGTCATTGTGAGGTTTAAATGAGCTAACACACCTGAAGTGTTTGGTGAAGAGTAAGCACTTGGTCACTGCCTAGAGAAGAAATAGCATAGCCGTTGAGAGAAAGGAGATATGGCAGGGGGCTGGCATATTTAATGCGAAGAGACTGTCCCCAGGAGTCTGGATTGGAGATGGATCCTGAATACTGAGAACTTAGGAAAGCAGAAAGAGAAGGAAGGAGACGGTCCTTTGTGTGAGCAAAGGCACAGAGGCTGGACACAGTTCTGGAGGGTTCAGGAAGCCAGACCAGTCTTCATACTTGTCAGTCTCTGGGCTCCAGAGGGCAGAGTGCGAGCCACACCCTCCTCCCCGGAGGCGCACCAGGGAACAGATGTGGGACCTGACCCGCCCTCCCTGCCCTATCCCCAGAGCCCGGCAGTGATCGACTCCCCACTGAAGCTGGAGCTGCAGGTCGTGGCTCCACCGCGCTGCACCATCAAGCCCTCGGGTACCACCATCTCCGTCACTGCCAGTGTCACCATCACCCTGGTCCCGCCCAACCTGCCCGAGGTCCAGCTGTCCAGCATGACCATGGTGCGGGCACCAGAGTGGGGGCTGCCGAGGGTCAGGGAGAAGTGGGCTGTGGACCCTTTGGGTCAGTAACACCCCCTTCCCCACTTTCCTGAAGGATGCCCGTCTCAGCGCCAAGATGGCACTCCGGGGGAAGGCGCTGCGCACGCAGCTGGACCTGCGCAGGTACGCAGATGTCCGCAAGCCCTTAACCTCTCTGAGCCTCAGTGTCTTCAGGATATCACACCTGCCCAACAGAACTGGGGAGCTAAAATTCAGTCATACCTATAAGCCACTGGAGTCTGTCTTTGTTAATGCGTAAAATGTGCTTTATTCGAGTGTAACTTCTCTGCATTCTCTCACGACCCGGAGGCAGGCAGAGCAGGTATTATAAGAGATGACCAAACAGGCCCAGCAAGGTTAAGTGCATGCCCACAGTCACACAGCAAAGAGCATAAGGACATGGGTTTTGGCAGAAACTTCAGCACAACTTAGCTTTGTGATCTTAAGTCATTTCATCTTTCTAAGCCTCATTTTCTTCATGTGTTAAAATATAGATAATAGTAGCATCTACTTTCTAGGGCTGTGCTATTCAATATGGTAGACACTAGCCACAGGTGGCTATTTACATTTAAATTAATTATAATTAAATAGTTCCTCAGTCGCACTAGCCACATGTATCTAGTGGTTGCTGCGTGGACAGCACAGACAGAGAACATTTTATGGAAAGTTCTTTTGGACGGCATTGTTCTAGGGGGTTAAATGAGATAATGCAGGGTAGTGGTTAAGAGCCTAGATTCTAGAGGTAGGTTCTGCCATTTACCAGCTGTGTGACCTTAGGCAAATGATTTAACCTCTCTGGGCCTCATTTGCCTCATCTAAAAAGTGCAAATCAGGGCCGGCCCAGTGGCGCAGTGGTTAAGTGCGCACGCTTCAGTGGCCCGGGGTTTGGATCCTGGGCGCGCACCAAAGCATCACTTGTCAAGCCATGCTGTGGGCGGCATCCCATATAAAGTGGAGGAAGATGGGCATGGATGTTAGCCCAGGGCTAATCTTCCTCAGCAAAAAGAGGAAGATTGGCATTGGATGTTAGCTCAGGGCTGATCTTCCTCACACACACACACAAAAAAGTGCAAATCATTATAGTCCCTACTTCTTAGGGTTGTTATGCGGGTTAAATCAGTTGGCATTTTAAAATATCTTAATAATATTTAACTTTTTCAAACATGTTTAGTATCTGGCAGGGAGTAAGCACTGTAAGTCTTGTTAAATAAAAATAAACACATGCAAAGCTATCAGCAGAAGTCTGGCATATGGGAAGGGCTCAACAAACAAAAAGCAGGAGACTTGGAGAAAAGGAGACACAAAGAGGGAGAAATGACTCACCCAAGAGTATCCACCTGCAAAGTGGTAGAACCCCCTGGAAAGGTGTACAGGGGGGACATCTAAGACTGAACGTCAGGGGCCTCTGGTGGGTTGGCCTGGGTGGCCTGAGGAGTGGGGAGCTTCCAGGGCTCGTCCCACTGGGCGCTTCTTTCTCCCCCACAGGTTCCGCATCTACTCCAACCAGTCTGCGCTGGAGTCGCTGGCAGTGAGTTGGGAGTAGTGGGTGGGCTGAGTCTGGGGTTAGGGTGGGCAGTGAAGGCAAGCCCCCTACTTCCCCACCCTGACTTCACCCCTCCTCCTTCCCAGCTGATCCCGCTACAGGCCCCTCTGAAGACCATGCTGCAGATTGGGGTGATGCCCATGCTCAACGGTATGGTTGGGGGGGAGGAGGGAGGAGGAGAGAGGTGAGCTGGGTGGGCCCAGATTGAGCCAGCTCTTCCCACCCACAGAGCGGACCTGGCGGGGGGTGCAGATCCCACTGCCCGAGGGCATGGACTTTGTGCGTGAAGTGGTGACGAACCATGCGGTAAGTGGGGGCGTGATGGGCAAGGGGGGCAGAGCCTTCCCCTCCCTCTACAGCTCCCCAGCGCCCTCCACGACTTGACTTCAGCTCCTCCCTTATCAATTGTCCCCTCCCATTTTGATCTTAATCAGACTCCTCCAGCCCTTTGCACAGGCTGTGCCCTCTCCTTGGGACACTCTTCCTTGATTCCACTCCCAAAGCCTACTAATCTTTCAGGTCTTAGCCAAGAGGTCACCTCCTCCAGGAAGCCTTCCTTGACCCCCACAGGCTCTGCTCCTGCTGCCTGTATTTCAACACCCTTCACATGGAGTTATAAGAACCACTTTGCTGCTCCCCTAGATTGAGAACCCAAGCCAAGGATGCTCTGTCCCCTTATCTCTAAACTCTGGCCTCAGTAATGTAATGAATAGACTCCACTCTCTGCCCCAACACACAGGGCTTCCTCACCGTTGGGGCCGACCTCCACTTTGCCAAAGGGCTGCGAGAGGTGATTGAGAAGAACAGGCCTACTGAAACCAGGGACCCCACGGCATCCAGTGCCCCACCACCCTCCACAGCAGCGGTCTGAGCCCTCAACCTCCACCCTGGCAGCTACATTCAGGACTCTAAGGCCTCTCAGGCCCTCCCTCACCCGCTCCCAGCCTATAGTGATGAACCTGTCACTGTCCTCTCTAACCCCCAGTGCCACAGAAAAGACAGGGTTTTAAGCTGTACACAATTTATTTCCATAATCACAGTCAATCTATCAATTATAGTCCCTCCATTCCCTCCCAGTGGGCTGTCCTGAGCTCTTTTGTGTTCCTGGGGTGGGATCAGTGCATTAAGGGCGTTCTTTAAGCAGAGAGGGGGCCAGGCCCCACCCCCGTCAGGAATAAAGTGCTAACTCCCCCAGACTGTCTCTATGAGGCACTGGGGCCCAGTCTGGGATGCACAGGGCTGCGGAGAGGGTGGGCCAGTTCTGTGGCAGACATCAGCCCTGCAGGGGCATTTTGCATAAAGGAGACCTCCCTTCTAGCAAGAGAGGCTGGGAGGGCTGGTCCCTGCGGTCATCAGGTCATCAGTATGGCTGCTTATTCAAGAAACGGGAGAACATGGTGAAGGCAGCCAGGGGTTTATCGGTGGGGACCATGTGTCCGGCGCCCTGAGGAGAAGAGCTCTGTGAGATTCCCTCCCTGTATAACCCCTGCCCCTGGGCTGTCCCCTCATCCCACTGGATCCCTCTAGCCTGTGACCTTCCTCCTCCCCAACCCTTCCCCCAGCCCTCCCTACTTCCCACGCCCCTAGAAAACTTGCCCTTACAGGGGCCAGATGGTAACCCAGCATAAAATGAGGCCGTAGGAAAGGATGGGCGGATCCTGCCTCATTCCCTCTAGCCCTCGCCAGGCCCAGGCCTTACCTTGATGGTGAGAAAGGCTATGTGGGAGAACTCCTTCACGAAGCCAGCAATCTGTTGCTCCCCACTCTCCCCGTAGTTCACTAACCAGGGCCGGCGCTGTACCTCCATCTGCCCCACCAGGAAAGACTTAGCAGCCTGCAGCCATCCCATCATCTCTGCTCACAGCCACCAGCAAGCCCTCAGGGGCTGGGAACTCCCCAGGTTTGCCAGAGCCAGGCTGCCAAGCACACCCACCCTACCCCTGCACCCAGCCTCAACCAGGGGCCTGGATCCCTGCCTTACCTTCTGGTTGAGGGAATCCACAAACCACTCGTCCCCCATGAAGTTGCAGGCCATGTCCACATCTCCGTTGTATAGAAGGATCCGGTATTTCTGGAGCAGGATGGGGAAAAATGGAGGGTCTGCAACAAGCCCAGGCCCCAGCCCTTTCCTGGTTCAAGCCCTACCCTCAGGAGATTCAGTAGCATGAACCAGGAAATGCTCATGGGTTCTGACTGCTTCCTACATGTCCAGTGCTGTACTAAATGCTTTTCCTATGAAGGTAGATACCATTATTAACCCCATTTTACGGGTGGGAAAACCAAGTCTCAAGATATTTGAGAAGCTTGCCCAGGGCCACGTGGCTAGTAAAGGGATTTGTACTCAGGCAGTCTGACCCCAGAAGCCATGCTCTCACCACTGTGCTGTACAGAACCCGGTCCTAACCTGGCTCTGCCAGTGCCTGCCAGGCAACCTTGGACAAGGCCCTCTCCCATTTGTAACACGATCCAACTACTCTCCTTACCCTAAAGGCTCCTTGGCTGATGCAAACCCCTCAGCTTCCTAGCAGGGGTGGGGACAAAGCCAGGTTCAAATCCTGACCCTGCCAACCCCAGGACCTCGAGCCAGTGACTTCATCTCTTGGAGATCCAGCTTCCCTTGTCCTGAGTGGTGCTCCAAAGGGGCCCCCGCCTTGCCATGCTGCCCCAGGGTCCTGGGGCTGCTGGTGGACCCAGCTGTGCTGCTCCCACTCACCTGTGTGGTGAGCAGCTTAAGGTACTGGGAGTACATGCTTTGGTAGAGACGGCGGTACTGTACATTCACCAGGAAGCTGCAGGAGCACGTGGGCAGGGAGACAGGGAGCGGGAGAAAGAGTCAACAGATCAAACGCCTCTCCTTTCCCCAAGCTCCAAGCCTAGGAGGCAGACAGCTGAGATTCAGTCCTCCCCTTGGGTGTGTCACCTCTCTAGGACTTACCTAGATGGGGGTGCTGGAATTCAGAAGTCCTCAACCCACCCCCATTTAGAAATGTATAGGGACACTTTGGTTGTTTCAAGGCTGGGATGCAACGGGCATTAATGTGTAGGGGCTAGCAGGTGTGAGAGCCATGGCATATAATAGTAGGGCCTGGGCACTGACCAATCAGAATGGACCTGAGTGGCCCGTGCTGTGCCAGATGTCACTCTTTTACTTGCAGGGTCATAAGTGATGGGGGCAGCTGGGGATGGTATTGGAGCGGGAGTGAGGGCAGGGGGGTTGGGAGAGTGTCTGTTTACTAACTGTTCTGTGGCAGTAATTGATATTTTAACAACCAGGGTGGCCATTTAAGAATGAACTGGCTGGGCCAGCCCCGTGGCTTAGCCGTTAAGTGCGCGCGCTCCGCTACTGGCGGCCCAGGTCCGGATCCCGGGCGTGCACCGACACACTGCTTCTCCGGCCATGCTGAGACCGCGTCCCACATACAGCAACTAGAAGGATGTGCAACTGTGACATACAACTATCTACTGGGGCTTTGGGGGGAAAAAAAAAAAGGAGGAGGATTGGCAATAGATGTGAGCTCAGAGCCGGTCTTTCCCAGCAAAAAGAGGAAGATTCAGCAGGATGTCAGCTCAGGGCTGATCTTCCTTACACACACACAAAAAAGAATGAACTGGCTGAATATCAATCAATGTAGGGGTCAGGGATGTTGAACAACCAGTACAACAACTCATTGTCATGCCCTGAATGTCCGTAGTGCCCCCATTGAGAAACCTTAGCCAAAGAATCCCCGGGAACCTTTCTGATGCCCACGAGCCCCAAAAGCCTGCCACCCCCAAGGCCACAAGTGGCTGCACAGCCTCACTTGCACACATCCCACTGGGGCAGCTGCTTGGGGATGTGGAGGGCCTTCCGCACGTAAGGGTTGTTGAGGTAGGTGGAGGCAGCTGTGGTGTTGGTGCAGGGGGGATCCATGCGCACCTTCTTCTCAGAACGCAGCAGTCCCTGGGGGGCACAGACAGCATCGGGGTCTTTGCTTCCCTGCCCGGCCCATCCTCACCCTGCCAGGAAGAAGCCCATGCCCTTGCACACCTGATACCACGTCCACTTGAGTGGCAGGTGAGTGAAGATGTTGCCCAAATCCTGGATCACGATAGTGCCCCCCTCATACCTGCAAGTGAAGTGAGGGGATGGGTGCCTGAGCCTCCAGAAGGGGCTGGGGTTGGCCTGAGGGGCACATGGCAGGGCCTACCTTAAGTGGCTGGGCACCCCCCCAGCACATGGGGCGTAGAGGTTGTAGATGTTGAGGCCGGAGCTGGCCACGATGCGGGACACTTCCTGAAGCTGCAATGACACACCGAGCCACCATGCTTTATAGAACCCTCGCCTCTCCACGACCTCACCAACTTGTCCCCAGATTTCTTGCTCTCCTACTTCACCTTGTCATTACCCTCCCCCCACTTTTTTCACACGTAGGGAAACTGAGGCTGAGTAGAAGGAATCTGCCAGGCCTGGGTCCAAATCCTAGTGCCTCTACTTCCTAGCACTGTGACTTCAGGCAAGTGATTTCAACATTCTTGGCCTCCGTTTCCTCATCTGGAAAATGGGGATGATATGATCTCCCTTGAAGGAGAATCTTGAAGATTAGATAACCTACATTGATATAGTTCAGTCCAGTGCCTGGCACATCATAGATGTTTGATAAATGAGAAATCCTTTCTGAGGGGTTACAGGATCTGCCCAAAAGGCACAGGAAGTGGTGGTGGGAAGACATCCATAGACATGTATCCCAGAGAACACCAAACTGCTGAAGGACGCAGGATAGGAGAGCAATGGGGGGTGGGGGAGAGGGCATCCCCAGGGAGGGGATGTGGTCCTATTCTTAGGATTGGGGGTGTCGGGGTGACACAGGTGGGGGCAGAACTTCACATTGGTCACGCATTCTGGGTCTTTGTTGTCGTAGAAGTTACACTTGTCTTGAGAGCAGCAGTGGGTCTGGAGGGAAGACCAAAGCCTGTAGGAGATGAAAGTGTTTAGGCCCTTGGTGGACAGAGAAGGCGAGCACCACCTTCTCCCTCCAACCTCTCATCACGACCTGACCCCAGGAGAGTAGGAAATATATCACAGCGGGGGATGTAGGTCCCAAAACTAGCCAACCCAAGGCCATACTGCCAGCCCTCCTGAGTCCCTTTAAATTCTGATCTCTATTCTTTGGCCTTTCAGCACCAAACCATTCCAGCAACCCCAGCCCCCACCTTCCGCTCATAAACCAGGGTAGGACCTGGGATATCATGTGCCTGGAGGACAGACTGAGATCTCATGACCTGCCCCATCCTGGAGATTGCTCAACTGCCTACTCCCCATACCTGTTCCCCAGAAGGCCATGGTAGTAGGCGAAATAGACCAGGGAGTTGTCATTCTGCTCATAGGAGGAAAGTCCATTGCCCACAGCCAGCCCCTGTGAAACACCCAGGGCATTCAGCTCATCTGGAAGGTGAGGTGGAGGAGCCTCCCTTCACCTGCACCCAGATCATCAGCAATCTGGAAGCTGAAACTCAGAGTGGTTTGTGGGGGTGGGGCAAGGAGACCACTGAACATAAAGAACAGAGCTGGTAGCCTGACAGGTGAGCTTCCTGCCATGGGAGGCACACGAGCAGAGACAGGCCGGCTAGTGGCAAGGATGTTATGAAGGACACTGGGTTGGATGGAGGAGTTGACCTGTCTGACCTTGCTAACCACAAGGCTATGACCACAAATTGCCTCCCTTCCCTCCTGCAGCTGCCCTGCACCTGAAGGTTCATGCTGGGGTCCTCCATGACCAGCATAGCCAGGGTGGGGATGTAGATGCCAGCATAACTCTCTCCCGTCAGGAAAAGCTCGTTGTTCTCGTACTCCGGAAAGAGGCGGAAGAAATCTTTCAGGGCCTCAAAATTGCTCTGGGCGACCTGGGGACAGTAGGATAGAGGGAATCGGAAGGCTCTGGTATGTGACCTAGAAAGAACCTCAGAGATAATAACACCCACCCACCCTGTTTGTGCAAGAGGAAGTGACATGGCCGAGACTATACCACATAGCATGTGATGGAGCCAAAAATGGACGCCAAGGCCATGCTCTTTCTCTCCCCACATCACGCCATCTTTAGAGAACCAGGGAGGCTGGGGCACCTGGGCAGGCACCAGACTCACCTCAGTGTCATTGGTCACGTAATACTTGTCATCAGAGTAGGAGAAGCCCACTCCGGCTGGGGACTCGAGGTACAACACGTTGGCAATCTAGGGGGGGAGGAACCGAGCTGAAGAGGACTCCCCACCCCATCCAAGTACCCAGACTCCCCACAGGACCCACAGCCCCGGCTATACCAGGTTCCAAGAATAGGGGTTGTACTCCAGGGTGGTACCGTCTGGCTGGATCTGAGGAAAGAGATGACTGATTAAGTCCCAAGGGCCAACTGGGTGGAGGGAAAGGGCCACCGTACTGGACACTTTACATTCAGGCAAAACCCGAGAGGTATAGACGGTCAAGTCGAGCAAGGTACAGATGAAGAAACTGAGGCTCAGGAAAAGGGCACATTTTTGGAAAATCACCAAGTCCTTTTCTCCCTCTTCCCCAGCCTTTTCCTTTGGGAACTATCCCCCCGCCCCCACTCCCCTTTCCTGGGTTATAGAGGGGAGAGCTGCTTTCCACTCACCAGGAAGGGGCCATGCTCTGTGAGGAGGCCATCTAGGGAGCTGCAGCCCGGCCCTCCGTTGAGCCAAAGCACCACAGGGCTGCTCTTGGGATCCTTCTGGGATTCCACAAACCTGGGAGGGGAGTCAGGGCAGGGTGGGTGCAGGTGGGGGAACCCCTTCCAGCCCTCCTGCTCCCAGTCTCCCCAGGGGTCTTTAGAACCCCTCCCCCCGCGCTCCACGTCATCTCCCCTGGTGGGCGCCGCAGGTCCCCCCCCCAACCGCGCCCTGGGAGGGAGCGCCGCAGACCAGTAGTGGAGGTGCTTGGAGCCCGAGCCTCTGAGGTAGCCGGAGTACTGGCGGAAGGACGGCTGCTTGGCCAGCCCGGGCAGGCACTGGATCTCATCTTCTTGAGGGGCTGCCTCGCCTCGGGGCGCCCAGGATAGCAGCAGCAGCAGCAGGAAGAACGGCGGCGACAGCGCGGCTCTTACCATCTGTGGGAGGAAGCGGGTGCCTGCTGTTGACTCGCGCCCGCACTCCTCTGCGCTTCCGTGCAGCCGTCCCTGGGGAGGAGCTGGGGGCGCATCGGCGAAGGAAACCGGGGTCCCAGCCCCAGCTCCCACCCGCCGAGCCTCCTCCGCCCGGCACCGTGCGCCGCGCTCCGCCCGGGGGCTCCGCGATCCCTCCCAGCCTCCGGAGTCCTCTCACCCCTGCTCCCCGCGTCCGTGCTTTCCAGGAGGTGCCCGGCGACAGAGGTCATGTGTACTCGGAGTCACGTGTGCTCCGGCATCACGTGACAGTCTTCCTCGGCCCCTCCTCTGGTCTCTGTGGACCTGGGGGTGGAAGGGACGGGGGCGGCGATGGTCCACGAAGGGTCAGGGTCCGCGGGCCTCGCAGGTCGTACCCCGTGGGCCGGCGATCAGATGACCCAGGTCTGGACGGCTAAGATCCCCAGCCTCCCGGGGGACCCTGTTCTAGGCGGGATGGCTGAGCAAGCGGCGCTAGGACCCCCGGGCAGAGCCTGGAGGAAGGGAATCTCGGAAATACCTTACCCCGCGGTCACCTTCTGATCCCGCCGCCCAAAATAGCCCCTGGCGCCCGCTGGCCTGCCTCATGGCCGAGAGATGGCTGCTGTGTCCCACCCCGCGGAATTGGGTGCGCCCCGGGGACCCGCGCGCCCCGAGCCACCTCGCACCCGCTTCCACCGGGTGCACGGTGCCAACATCCGCGTGGACCCCTCCGGGACGCGGGCCACACGCGTGGAGAGCTTCGCCCACGGCGTGTGCTTCAGTCGCGAGCCGCTGGCCCCGGGCCAGGTATTCCTGGTAGAGATCGAGGAGAAAGAGCTGGGCTGGTGTGGGCACATGCGCCTCGGCCTGACTGCGCTAGACCCCGCTAGTCTGGCCGCCGTGCCCGAGTTTTCACTCCCCGACCTGGTCAGCCTGGGCCACACCTGGGTCTTCGCCATCACGCGCCATCACAACCGCGTGCCCCGAGAGGGCCGCCCGGAGGCAGAGGCAGCGGCCCCCAGCCGACCCCCAGCCCTTCTAGTGGAACCGTATCTGTGCATTGAGCAGTTTCGAATCCCCCGCGATCGCCTGGTGGGCCGCAGCAGGCCGGGGCTCTACAGCCACCTCTTGGACCAGCTCTATGAGCTAAACGTGCTGCCTCCGACTGCGCGCCGCAGCCGCCTGGGCGTTCTCTTCTGCCCGCGCCCGGATGGCACGGCCGACATGCACATCATCATCAACGGCGAGGACATGGGCCCCAGCGCCCGGGGGCTGCCAGCCACCCAGCCCCTCTACGCAGTGGTGGACGTGTTTGCCTCCACCAAGAGCGTGCGCCTGGTCCAGCTGGAGTATGGCTGTAGGTATCCCACCCCCTGGGCAGCCTCCCCTCCTGGCCCAGTGAGGGGGCAGGAACCTTCTAGGACTCCCAAGGCAGCTACCAAGCTTCAGTTTACCCACCTTGGCGGTGATTGGTTAGGATGCCCTGCAAATTCCTTCTGGCTTTGACAATATTTTCTGTATTAACCTAGGGATTCTAAACTGATTTTAGATCCTGGGCCTCATTGAAAATTGTGTGCCCTTTTATTAGACAAATGCTCATAGATTTGGGCATACTAGTTTAAAGGCATCACAGACCCCAGATTAAAACCTTCTTAATCCTGAGGTCTGGTTCATTATAGTCCTGTAAAGCCCTTTATTTATATCTCTGATCACATTTTATGAATTCCATGAACTAGAACCCACTCTGTGCCGGGCCTGTGCTGGACGCTGGGGTTGCACAGGTAAATCAGACACTACCCTGCCCCCAGAAGCTGCTAAGTGAGGGGGAAGGGAGTGTGCTGAGTGTTGTAATAGAAATAGGGCTGCAACATTGTGATAGAGGCGCTTATCTTAACCACATGAACAGCCCCAGGAAGCAGGCTGGGCCTGGAGAGCAGAAGGGACTTGCCCAAGTTAACGACAAAGGGGGGACCAAACCTAGATCTTCCGGGTCTCAGCCACAGATCCACCCTCCAGTTCAGTTTGCCTTTGACAGCCTTCTTTCCACAGTGCCGTCCCTGCAGACTCTGTGCTGCCTGGTGATCCAGAGGAGCGTGGTGCACCGGTTGGCCATTGATGGACTCCACCTGCCCAAAGGACTTAAGGATTTCTGCAAGCATGAGTGATGGCCTGCAGCCAACCTGGAGCAGGGCCACAGGAGTGCGTCCTGGCCCCAGGGCTGTGGCTGGTCTGAAGCTGGCCACGCTGCTGCCAGCCAGGACCAGAAATAAACACAGCCGATGCTGACACTGATCACTGGACTGTCTCCTTGCCCCTGAAGCCTGTGAGGGGCACTTCTTTTAGAATCACTGTGGGTGAGCAGGTCAGAGCAAGAGGGAGAGCATTTTAGACATCACCTAGACCAGTGGTTCCTAGCCTGGCTACTCATTAGAGTTATCTGGGGTGCTTAGAGTGCTGATGCCCCAGACCCCGTCTCCAGATATTCTCATTCGATTTGTTGGAGGATTAGGCCTAGACACTGTTTTTGTAAAAGCTCCCCTGGAGATTCTAAACCACAGCCAGGGTTGAGAAGCATTTCCCTAGATCAGAGGACTCAACTTCAGCACATATGACCACTTGAAGAACTTGGAAAAATACTGATAACTGGGTCTGATCCTGGGATTCTAATTTAATTGGTCTGGGTTGAGGCTGGGCGTCAGTATTTTTAAAAGCTCCCAAGAGATTCTGATGTGCAGCCCGGCCTGAGAACCAGTGCCCTAGACCAACTATTTCATTTTGCAGATGAGAAACTGAGGCCAAGAGATGGGAATGTATGGGAATGTATTTGTCTAAGGTCACGGTCACGTAGTGAATGAATGCAGAGTATTCCTTCTCTCACTACAGGACACAAAGCACTAGACTCCTTTGGTGGTATCTCTGATCATTTGCTTCCATACAAATGATCTCATTTAATCTTCACAACTTTTTATTTATTTATTTATTTTTTCCCCCAAAGCCCCAGTAGATAGTTCTATGTCATAGCTGCACATCCTTCCAGCTGCTGTATGTGGGACGCGGCCTCAGCATGGCCGGAGAAGTGGTGCGTCGGTGCACACCCGGGATCTGAACCTGGGCCGCCAGCAGCGGAGGGCGCGCACTTAACCACTAAGCCACGGGGCTGGCCCAACAACTTTTTTTTTTTTTTGTACAAGAAGATTCGCGCTAAGCTAACATCTGTTGCCAATCTTCCTCCTTTTTTTCCTTCTTCCCCCAACCGCCCCACAAAGCCCCAGTACATAGTTGTGTATAGTTGTAAGTTCTTCTGGTTCTTCTGTGTGAGCTGCCAGCACAGCATGGCTACTGACAGACAAGTGGTGTGGCTCCACACCCAGGTACTGGACCTGGGCCGCCAAAGTGGAGTGCGCTGAACTTTAACCGCTAGGCCATGGGGCTCTAATTCTCACAACTTCTGGTGAGGTAGTGGGCAGTCATCACCCCCACTTTACAGATGAGGATATCAAGGAACAAAACTGTCCATGTGACTTGCCCAAGGTAAAGGCAAGAAACTAGAATGCCCAGTTCCTGGTCCAGCACTCTTTTAACCCCATCCCATTGTCATATTCAGGTTCTAGAATGAACAGGTCAATGCTGTGAGGTGGGTTTCAGGTGTAAAGGGGAGGGACTATGAGGTAACATTCTAGAAGCATGGAGAGGGTAGGACAGGAGGCAGATGACTGTTCCCTCACAAACAGGGGCTTTGGGGCAGCCATGTCCTATTTCATGTCTCCACAAACTCATCCGGGTCTTCTGCCTTCCAGCCAAGGTGAGAGAGGGGTTCCTGGAACCAGAGGGGGTATGACAATTTCCCCAGAGAACTTACTTCCTGGCTCTGGGGAGGTAGAGGTTCTGCTGGGCATTTTTGGGCTGGCCCTGGAGTCAATTCTCTTTGAAGAAAAGCCATTCCAAAAGTCCTTGCCAATAGCTATCTACTTGCTCATTCATTCAACAAACACTTCTCCATCACTTACTCAGTGTTAGGGACTGGGGGTGTGGATATGAGCAAAACCTAGTTCCCAACTCCTAGACAGCCCTCTGGTCTTAATTGCTCCTGCTCCCAATGCTCTGCTCCTATGCCCTGCCCCTCAGGGCCTCCTCAAAGGACCAAGAATAACATTCCATCTCATTCCTGTCTCTGCAGGTGGGGCTGCTTCTCCAGGCTTATCCCTTGGCCTCTATAGTCCTGCAGAGCCAGTGGTGGTGGCTGCTAACAGACTAGGCCCTCCGAGCCAGAAAGCTGAGCAGGTAGCACCTGCTGCCCAGGCCTGGGGCCCGGTCCTGGCAATGCCGGAAGCCAGGGGCTGCCCTGGGGGGGCTAGCTGGGAGACACTGCAGAGGAAGGAGTACGGCGGATACTGCCACAGATTCCCCCACGTGAGGCAGCCGGAGAGCCTGGGCTGGGAGGATGGGTGCTCCAGAAGCAGAGCTCCCCATCTGGGTGGCCCCAGCAGGCCTGGGCCCCTGCTGCTGTGTGGGCTGTCACCAGGGGTTCTGCCGATCCCCTCTGAGGCAGAGGGGAAGGAAGCCAGCTCCCAGCCTGACATCTGCATCCTTACCCTGGCCATGATGATCGCTGGCATCCCCACCGTGCCTGTCCCAGGCCTGCGGGAAGAGGATCTGATTCGGGCGGCTCAAGCTTTCATGATGGCCCATCCAGAGCCAGAGGGGGCTGTGGAGGGGATGCGGTGGGAGGAGGCGCATGCGCACACAGCCTCTGGGCAGATGCCCCTAGTGAGATCCAGGAGGGGCCAGCCATCCTGACTCCTGCTTGTAGCTGGATGAAATAGCACCAGATACATAGGGTGGCTTCTCTGTATGGTTTTTGGGCAGACAGGGTTGGGGGTGCCTATGGCAGGGATGGGGATGGGGGGTCGTTTGAGCCACTCTGATGAACACTAGTCCTTCTTCAGAGCCCAGACCCCGGGAAGTTTCTCCAGATACCACTAAGCCGGGAGACAGGTCTTGTCAGAGTAGTTATGATGAAAATTACCTGAGGTAGGAGGCCCTGCTTGGAGAGTGGAAGCCTCTTTTGTATTATTCTGGGATTCCACCAAAACTTCTTATACCAAGTCCTAGGCCATGTGAATTTTCCTCTCCTTACATTTCCCAGCTTGCTGAGAGCAGGTGATGGGACCATAGGCAAGGAAGGAAAATTAACTTATCTGAGCATCCACTGGGCGTTGGGCCCATTACATGTGCATTCTCCTTTACACTTCCCAATGCTGAGGGGATCCCCATTTTTTACAGATGAACAAATTGAGGCTTAGAGAGGTAACTTGCCCAGTCTCATAGATGGTAAAAAGGAGAACCAGGCCTCAAAAATCAGGCAGGGAAGGAACCAGGATTTGCAGGTAGTGTCAGACTCCGAAGTGTCTATTCTTTCCACAATATTTCCTAAACTGCCTTCTACAAGACAAAAAACTAGACAAGTGCTGGAATAGGCAACATTCAACTTTAATGAACTCAGGATGGGTGAGTGGGGGGAGGAGGAGAGGCTGGGAGCCTGGCTGAGCCACCTCCCCTGAGGGGGCCTCTTCCTCTGTGGGTCAGGTGAGTCATCTGTAACCAAGGCCCAGCCCTCCATCTCCACTCAGTGTCTTATCTCTTATCTTAGAGCAGGGGTTACCTGTTTTTGTAAGGCCCTTGAGCTAAGAATGGTTTTTACCTTGTGAAGAGGTTTTAAAAATCCACAACTAAAAAAAGAATATACAACAGAGACTGTCTGTGGCCAGCAAAGTCTAAGATATTTACTATTGGGCCCTTTACAGAAAAGATTTGCTGACTCTTGTCTTAGGGAACTAGACACATTTTAGGTAGCAGGCTGCAATAAGACAGAACTCGTGTCCTTTCCTGGAAGGAGGGCCCATGGAAGTAAAACAGTGTGAGTGTGTGTGTGTGTAGGGGTAGATGTGAGCATGTACATGTGTATGAGCATCTCTGGGCGTTGAGGGTAATCAGAGTTGGACCTGCTCATAAGGGCCGATCCAACTGTCGGCCAGTTTCCGCAGGGTGCTGTACCGCCGCTCAAACTCCTCCTGGCTGCAGTGCTGCAAGAGCTGACCCACCTCCTCAGTGAGGAGGGCCACTGCCAAGTGCTTATCCAGGGTCTCACTCCACTTAGTGCCCAGGATGTCGTCCAGACTGGCAGCACAGCCTGCTGTCCACTGAGCTGGCAGCATGTCGGGCTGGAGCACCTGGCAGCGGGCACTGAGCATGGCCAGGATGTGGCGGCAGGGCAGGTGGAAGGCCTGGTTGAAGTAGCAGCTGCAGCTGGCAGGGGGCTGCGGCTGCACCCTATGGGTGTCCTCCAGGATCTGTATGTTCACCTTTTCTGAGCCAGAGCCAATGAGGTGCACGGATTTCTGGACCACTGCAAGCTCACCCAGGCAGAGCTGGGCTGCTGGTCCCGTGCAGATGGCATTAAGGGAGTGCTGGATGCGGGCTTCTACCGACTGCTCCACTTTGGGGCTTTCAGGGCTGACGTCTGAGGGGGCATGACTGTTCTGGGGACTCAGGCCCAGGCTGAAGCTTGCCTTGTCTCCAGAGTTCTGCTGCATGTATCGGAGCAGAGAGGTCATGCCTTGTTCCACAGACGAGGCGGTGCCAAAGAACTGGCTGAGGACACGGGTGGTGACCTCCAGGCCCTGGAAGTAGCGGCTGCTCTCGGCTCGGCTTCTCCAGCGGTGGGCCAGCCAGATGCGGTCATTGAGCAGCCAGTGTGAGTGGAGCTCAGGCAGCTGGGCTGGGGGGATGCAGTTACTCAGGAGTGTATACAACTTCCTCAGGTTGCCAGCTGTGGCCGAGCACATCGTGCTCTGCAGTGAGGTCAGGAGCACCCTCTCCACAGGCTGTTCAAGAGACAGCTGATAGAACTTACCCTGGAGGAACTTACAGATGTGGAAGGCTGAGAGCAGGACCTCAGCTGCAGGGAACTCCATGGCTAGGGTGGGCAGGGGAAGGAAGTGGGGATCCACCAGGATGGTACAAACTCTCTCCCATGCTGGGTTAAACTTCTTGAACACCTGGAACATCTGGGCCAAGTCTTCAGCATCCTCCTTGGCAGGAATGGCGAAGTAGACTGCCCGGGCAAGGTGACCCTCCAGCTGCACCTGAGGTCCATCCACCAGGAAGGTATATAACACCTTGCCCTTTGGGTTATAGGTGCGGTGGATAAATAAGATCTCAGGGAAATGGGCAAAGACGCCCTGCATAAAGCAGCTCTGATAGTTGAGGGTATCTAACTGGGCAGTCTTGCTACCCTGGTACAGCAGCATAGGTGGGCTTGGGTCCTCAATCAGGAGCTCATTCAGCATTGTTAGGGACATGGGGGAGATGGGAGAAGTCTAGATGCCAAGGTCAAAGTACTGTCTCTGTGAGGCTGCTGTCCAGGAGGCTCTCAGTCTCTCAAGCTCCAACTAAGTTGAGGCCTGAGGCTGGATTGTAGTTCCCAGATCTTGTTCCAAAGATGGGCCTATGGAGAGGAACAGAGGTTTAAGGAGAGAGGAGGGGCTTAGCTCTTGAATTATTCATCCAGACAATATTTAGTGAACACTTACTATCTATCAGCACTGTTCTGGGGAGATACACAATAAACTTGTAAACAAACGAGGATATATGAAGTAATGAAAGTTACAAAGACCAAAAAACTGGGTAACAGGTAGATAGTAAGTTGGGGGAGGGAGGGATACTTTGGCTAAGGTGGTCAGGGAAGCCCTCTCTGTGGAGGGAGGATGACATTGGAGTCAAGACCAAATTTTTAAGAAGCCAGCCATGGAAAGATTTGGTTCCATGAGATGAGTGTGAAGGCCAGAGCTGCATACGGTTGTTTTTTTAAAATAGCATTTTAAATTTGTCTAGCACTTTATATTTACAAATTACTTCTTGGCATCCATTCTTTCATTTGGTCCTGGTACACACAAGAGAACTGCGATTGCCCTGAACTTGCTGTGTGATCTTGGGCAAGTCAGTGATTCCTTCTGAGCCTCAATGCCTTCAACTATAAAACAAATGCACATAGCTTCTCGTGCCTCTATGTAAATCCTTCAACTGCAATGTGCTAGTCAAACGTTTCCTTTATTGGCTCCAAATCGGGTTATTGTCTCCATTTTACAAATGAGAAACTGAGGCTCAAGGAGGTTAAGTGACTTGCCCACCATTGCTCGGCAAGTAGTTGGAAGCTCAGTCTTTGGCTGGGTATCCTGACTGCTTTCCACAGCACCTGAGGCCCAAAACCAGGGACTGAGAGAGGACGCGGCCTCTGACCTCTCTCACCTCCAACGCGGGTGGGAGGACGTGGACGTCTGACGTCCCCATTCAGAGTCCGCCTGGAGCCAGAAGAGCAGTCAACCTCCCGCCCCTTTGGGAGACATGTCATGGCTGACCGCAGTCACCAGCTGCCTCACACCTCCACCGCTTCAGAAATCACTCACCCACAGGCTGGCTCGGTCGCCATTTCTCCCTATTTGACCCTGCCTCTGACTGACTGATCTCTAGGATCACTAACCGCGGCGCCAGCTTCGCTGTGACTCGGCCCAATGGCCTGAAGAGTTCGTTTTCGGTCTTAGGCGTACGGACCAATCGCAGCCTGGCAATTCGTGGGCGGTGCTGTTACCAGGGTTACGAGGGGCTCGGCTGGCGGTAACCAATGAAAGCCTGAGGACGCTTGCATTCCCGCGAGTCTGAGCCCTGAGGCTGGAACTCTGGAGCCTGGATTCCGGTAGACAGACGACTGGAAGGGCATGCTACTATGGAAACTCCCTCAGAGGCCGAAAATGAAAAGGAAAATAAAGAGCAGTGTTCTACGGATTCTTTTTTCTGGTCAAATTCCGAAGCCCCGGGGACGGGGGGTGGGGTGGGACGGGGCGTGGTAGGAAAGGGTGCATGTGTAGTTTGTACTGTTTTCTGCCTTATGGGGAAACTGAGGCGCAGGTCTCAAATTCTGTCTCTACCTCAGAGGTCAGGGGCCCAACCCTTGGAGTTGAGGAAATCCAGATCTCCTTGAGAGCGCTGAACCTTGGTGTTGCCCAGCCCCACCCCCTCCCGTATTCTAGAGAAGAGAGTGATCCAGAACGGAAGGTCACGGTGAACTCGTGCAAGAACCAAGAATGACTGCCATCTTTTGACCTCAGTTCCTCTGAAGATGGCATCTTGGAAAGCTGGGTGGCTACCAGGCCTTAGGTGATTAAGATTACAAACTAACAACAACAACAACAACAACAAAAGTCAGTGTTGGTGCTTATAACTGCAACGAAAATGTTCTGTTTATATAAATCTAGAGGGGAAATTGGGATTAGAATAGGCCAACACACTAATTTTTGCAGATGAGGAAAGTGGGGTCAAAGAAATTAGGGACTTGCCCACAGTCCCCCAGCAGTTGCAGGCAGTCAGATCTAGGACTCAGGTTTCTTCCCTCCCAGTCTAATTGGCCTCCTCCTACTAGACTACAAGGCAGTTGAAATCAATGCTGAGGCTTGGTTGGTAGGAAGAGGACGAAGTTAAGTGGTGGATTGCTAAGTCTGAATTTGAGGCATCAGATTGTGTTTGGCTCCACAACACCCATTAGATTCCTTTCCTGTTCAAGCAGCACATATTTCCTCTGCTTGTGTGATTTTATTACAAAAACCTTTATTTAATATGAATAAAAATAGGTACAAATAACAGATTCTTTGTAAAGAGCAGCAACAGCCAAGGATCACCCTCCTTCCCTTTGTCTCCAAAAACAGGCCCTTTTAGCAGGTTCATTTTGTCTAACCCTATCCTGGGGCAAGGGTTCATCTCTGTAAAGAGAATAAGATCTGATCTCAGGGGTCGGAGAGAAAGAGGGATGACCTTTCAGGATGGAGATAACTTTGGCCTTGAACAAGGAATGAGGCTCCCGGGGAATGCCAAAGGTAGGGCAGAAAAGGGGCAGATTCAAATGACTGTCACACAGTGGGGTTCCTCTTCTTCCTATTGTAACAATCTTCCTAGCCCTACCTAGGAAGACATTGGTTAAAATGCAGACCCCTGCCCATTTTGAGCTCTCAGACTTCCAAGGAGAGGGGTTTGTGGTCCAGTGTGCCAGTGCAAGTGTTTTAATCATGAATCGTGGCTCTAGCAGGAAGGAGTCTCTCCCCTTCCTCCTGCTTTCCCCAAAGAAAAGGGAGGCGGCCCACATCCTTGAAGTTCCCTGGCTGGTGACTGGGCTCAGGCTGCTGGCAGGGGTCAGCCCAGATGTCCACAATCTTGCGCAGGGTAGAACAGCGCTCCTCCAGCTCGGGCCCCTCACTCTGCATTAGCAGGTTTGCTAGCTCCCTTCTTAGGTCATGAATCATGTCATTCCGTCCTTGCTTCCCAGGTTGGCCTGGGTTTGGGACCACAACAGGCTCCCGCAGTTCCCCACTGGGCCCGAGGAGGTGCTGGTACCTCTTCTGCCACTGACGGCACACCATGGCTTCACCCACAGGCTTCTGGCTGGTGTGCAGCAGGGCCAAAATGTGCCGGCACGGCAGGTGGTACCACTGCTGAAAGGAACAGCTACAGCTACAGCCATCTTTGCTAACTTGGTGAGAGTCCTCTAGCAGCTGAACGTCCACTGAGGAGCCGGCCACGTCCACTAGGTGGGTGGAGTTCTGCACCACCTCCCACTCATTGTGGCACAGCTCATAGGCCAGTTTGGAGCCACTCTGGTGCAAGGTGTCTAGCATGCCACCCTGGGAGGGCTGCACCTGCGGCTGGGGCTGCAACTGCTGTGAGTCTGGCTTTCTCTCATCCACAAGGAGCCTGGTGAGGCTCCCTCCACAAATTCCAAAAGCCTTCTTGGACTTTGGTGGCATGCTTGCTGGCCGGGCTCTCTTTAACTTGGGAGGAGCCGTGGGCAAGTTCTTCAAGCCTTTCGTATTAAAGAAGTCTATGTAATCCACAAAGCGGAGGATGCAGTCCAGCAGGGACTGCTGTTCCCGAAAGAGGCTTGACACCTTGCTAGTGACGACGTCTAGACTGTCCATGTAGGTGTTACACGCGTGCAGGCCCTTCCTGACGTGCATGTACCACAGCAGTTCACAGGAGAACCAGTGGGCCTGCAGGAAGCTGAAAAGCTCCTCATCTAGAAGGGCTTGGGACATCTGACAGAGATTTTGCAGGCTGGCATCAGAAGTGAGAAACACAGCCTCCCGCAGGGCTTCCTTCATGAGCCTTTTAAAGGACGGATTTACTGAACTACGATGCAACTTCTTCTCCAAGAGTTGGGCTGTATGGTAGATGGAAAGGAGGATGCGGGCAGCAGGGAAGATCTCCTGAAGGATGGCTCGATGAGGAAAGGACGGGTCCACAAAGACTACCTTGACCTTGGGCCAATCTGAGTTGAACTCTGTGAAGATACTCAACATCTTGGCCACAGAGGTGGCTGTCTCGGCCTTGAGCACAGCAAAGTGTACCACTCGACACTCTCGTTCCTTGTTCTCCACCAAGAAAGCGTAGAGGATGTGGCCCTGAGCGTTCTCCACCCGGTGCAGCAAGAGATTCTCTGGGAAGCGGATGAACAGGTTGCTCATCTTGCTGCTCTGGAAGCTGAGCCGGTCCAAGTCTTGGCTGTTGCCTACACTGAAGGAGGCCATGGAACCTTCATCCCCCTTAAGAAAGTTCTTCATCACTTTTGCTATCTTGGCCAGGTCAGAAGGAGTGATACCCTCCTGTTCTGGTTTTGAGGGTGCTTGGACCTTATCTAAGCAAAATGCTGGTTCAACTGGGGACTTCTCAGCTGTGTCAAGGTCTTTCTTGCCTGTAGGCTGTGCAGGCTGGGGTTTCTGCAGGCACATTGTCTTTTGCGATTTGCCAGTGGTGTCTCCTCCAGGACACGCAGTTTTAGAGTCAACATGTATATGCTGGGTGTTGAGTTCACTGATAAATAGTCTATCCAGTTTCTCATTATACCGCAGGAGCAAGTATGCTGGGCACATGTCCACCTCTGGTGCTCTCTTCCTGTTTGACTGGGTCCGAATACAGACAAATTTCACCTGCACATATCTAGGGAAGGTAGAATGACAATGAAAAAGGTGCTGACCTTCCCCTTTCTCTTATGAGACAAGGCCCTGTAGGGTCTTACAGTGGCTGATATGTTTCCTAGAGACCACAATGCAGTGCAGGATGTCGGGAAGGAAGATTTACGCTCCCTCTCCAGTCCCAAAGTATTCCGCTTTTTCTTCAAGACCCTCTCCAACTAAAACTCCCTTCATTTTTATCTACAGCAGTTCTAAGCCCCAACTCCTTTCATTCACTCTCTGTTACCCATGTATAGCTCCCTACAAACAATTCAGTATGAGGCAAGACACAAGGGAAAATGGACAAGAGGCAACAGCAGAGTGCTTGGCTGGCTACTCACTGTTTAAAATGTCTCCTGTATTCCACCCTTTGTGAACCACTGCCTCTTCCTCCTCCTCCAGACAGCAAAGATAAAAGCGGCCCTCAGGGGTTAGAGTATGTCTGGGCCTCCTCTCTAAGAGGGAAGATCTCTGTTCATCTTTCATGTAAAGAAAAATATCTGAATCCTAAGCGAGTTTGAGAACCCCTGGGCTAGATGGTCTTTAGGGTCCCTGCCAGCTTTGCCATTCTAGGCCAGAAGTGATGATTCAGAGGAGAAGGGTAATTAAATCAAGTATTGGCTGTTTTTCTCTTCCTATCCCCATTCAACCCCTGTTTCAAGACCCAAATAAGGTCCCACCTTCTCCAGGAAGCCTTTGTGGATGCCCTCAAGCCACAAATATTGCTCTTTTTTCTGAATTCACAGTATTTATTTAAAATACAAGGATTAGCAGATTCTCTAGGTGGCAGTATCCCTAGTGGTTAACAGTGGGGATGCTGGAGGCTGACTGCCTAGATTTGAATCTGAGCTCCACCACTCAGAAGCCGTCTGACCTTGGGCAAGTCACGTCACCTCTCTGTGTGCAGTTTTCTCATCATAAAATGAAACTATCTTAGGGTTGTTGTGAGAATTAAATAAGCCACAGAGGTAATATTTAACCCAGAGCCTGGTTCAGCCTTTTATTTACTCTAAATAAAAGTCAGCTACTGTTACCACAGCTCCTACGCCTTGGGACAATCTCTTGGGTGTTCACGCAGTACCTTTCCAATTGGATGGGACTGTCTTCAAGGGGCAAGACTGAATTATTCCTCAGTGTATTCCAAGTACCTAACACAAAGCTATTCCTTCAGCAGATGCTTATCAAAGATGTACTGGATAAATGACTCATGGACCACAGGTGGCTGGGACAGGTCATGCGCCTGCCTCCTTAGGGAGTCCCAGCCCAAAGACCAGGGAAGGGGCAAAATATCTCAGCTCCTGGAATGACATGACACAGCCTGTGCACCTTATCAACCCCTTTCCAAACATTCTAAGCCAGCTGGTCCTGTTTGCCCACCCTGTGGGGCAAGCTTAGCAAAACAGGATATGTCAGGCCCGCAATAACAGGGTGGAAGGGCCCGGGGCTGAAAACGCCTGCACCTGTTCTGTGCACAGTGCTGGGGCGGCAATGCCATCCCTAGCTCAGGGCCAAGGAGGGGGCTGGAGCAGCCCAGCAGTATAGCAAGGCCAGTGAGGGGTGACCGTAGTGTGGCCTCTGCCTCTCTCTCCAGCCTCATTTCCACCCCCTCACCATCTTGTTTTGTTTTGTTTATAATTTTATTTTTTCCCCCAAAGCCCCAGTAGATAGTTGTATGTCATGGCTGCACATCCTTCTAGTTGCTGTATGTGGGACGCGGCCTCAGCATGGCCGGACAAGCAGTGCGTTGGTGTGTGCCCGGGATCCGAACCCGGGCCGCCAGCAGCAGAGTGCGCGCACTTAACCACTAAGCCACGGGGCCGGCCCCACCATCTTGTTTTTTTATGCCCTAAAAAGACTGTCTACAGCTTCCCATGTTCACTATGCTGTCTCACCTCTATGCCTTTGCTCACGTTTATCTCCGTCTGGGATGCCCTTCCCACCTGTCTTCATTTCAGAGCTTAGTCATCCTTCAGGACTACGTGCCACCATAGTCTTTTCTAGGAAGCCCTCCCCAAGCTCTTAGATTGGGCCCTACCCTTCTCCTGGCTCAACATCTTAGCATAGCTCTAGCTCATCAAATTATATTGACTTTATGTGCATTTAGTGCAAGTTTGTTAGGCTAGTCCAAAGAAAAGACACTGGCAAGTGCCAACCATAAAGCTCTTTCTTTCTTTTTTTTGCTGAGGAACATTCGCCCTGAGCTAACATCAGCTGCCAATCTTCCTCTTTTTGTATGTGAGCTGCCACCACAGCATGGCCACTAACAGACATAGGTCTGCACCTGGGGAACTGGACCCAGGCTGCCGAAGCCAAGCCTGCTGAACTTAACCACTAGGCCACCGGGTCTGGCCCCATAAAGCTCTTTCTACCTTTCTAGTTTCCATTAATGACTGCACCTCCCAGGGTGGAAACCTTGGCATTCTTTTTTTTTTTTTTT